GAGCGGATTTTATGAAGAGTGGCGATTGGCTGTATGTTTCGAATCTAAGGATGTGTTCGCGGTGGAGCTCCAGGCTGTACGAAGTGCATCTGAAGGTGACCAGACGAAGACATCCATTCCAGGTGGGCAGGGCTTTGTAATCTTCAGACGGGTCACTGCTCTCATTTTACGCTAGCGATTTTTCGATGTCGACAGCAAAACGGAATTGACAATTTTGGCTTCCTGAGGAGATTCGGAGACTTTTCGAATTATTAGCGGAATCTGCCGCTCAGGCAAGTGACTGGTGGATGGTTCATGGGGAGTCATTTAAGTGCTGAATTCGAAGATCATGGAGTGCCGAGTAGACAAAATTGGGGGTCCCTTGTGAAATTGGATGGGAACGGAAACTCCAGTAATCAACATAGACGGTTGCGGGATTCGTTGCCTGTGGAAGAATTTGCCGCTCTGTTTAGTTAGCGACGCTATATGCCATGAACTGTATTCCTCGAGTTCTTTGCCCCAAGGCACGTTCTGGCTCAAAGAGCTAAATCCATATGTGGGTATTGCCTGAAAGCATTTTTGCTATGGTGCTTTGCACTCACAGATTGTGCGGAAGCGCTTTCAGGTGTTAAGATCCTGCATTCTTCCTATATGGGGCTGGAAATCGACTATGCTACAGTCATGCAGCGGTTGTATTTGCAAGCAAGCAATATTGTACGTAGTTTTAGGAGCTGAACTTGCGTGTATTTTCATTCGCCTTGCGCATTGGGCTTGTCTTCTGTTTGTTTCTAGAGCAGAATGCTCACTTATTTCCTCTCTCCTACGATGGCGAGCCATCGCTCCGCCGCTGTCATGTCGATTTCGGTCTCTTCTTCGTTGTTGGCTGATGTGCGTATGCTTTTTTCCTTTTGGTATTAGAAACGGTAATTGCACAACTTACTTCGCCCGGTCGCTCTGCTTTCGCATTTCTGCCCTCCTGGGTAGTAGCGGTGGAGCCGAAATCATTCGCCCCTTTTGCACACATTTCTCTTAACGTAAAAGTAGAAACAAGCGGGCATAATCTCTTAAACTGGCCAATGCAGAAGAGGGGAGAGGAACTGTCGCGGGCTGTGTTAGCCCTGACAAATTTTTACATCAGTTCTATTTAACCTGAGATTAGCGAAGGATTGTCTAATTGGCTTCTCTGCCCGTATACCTGATTTCTTGCAGAAAAAACTTAAGTAATTCCAAGAGGACGCAACGTTGTGTGTCTGCGCATAAGACGGTTTGTGTAACTAGTTGTGAATTGTCAGTCTGTCAGAAGGTCCAACGGTGCGCATCCTAGCAATCTCTCCCCACGACGGAACTGTTTGGTCCGCGGGTAGGGAGAAAAGGGAGCTTTTATGGAAAGCCCCTGATAGCCTCATGAGATTCATGCTGGAGGTAAAGTTCAATGTCTTCCTACGGTGACTTTAGATGGACAGCTAGAGAGTCTTTTTATTTCACGTTTCAGGATGCTCGAGCCCCACTTTGTAGGGCACTACCTGCTTTACACCTGGTCTCTTACATTAGGGAGGCAATGACGTAGCGAATCGGAAGATGGTAAAGCTTGTATCATTCCAGACTAGTTTTTTGTAGGGATTAGACAGCTTTCCTTACACGCCTAGGATAAGGGTAGAAAAGAGTCAACTGCATCCTCAACTGCATTCGCAGCTAAACTTTAGCAAAGTCCTCTGCTACCCCACGCGTCTCTCTCCACACACCCGGGACCCCAACCAGCTGTATCTTAAAATAGCGAGTTCTAATGAGTCGTGGTGCTGTCCGAGCCACCTCGGCAAGACGGAGTAGCACGATGCCTAGAGTGTGGTGGTGAGTGAACCCATGTAGAGATCCTAGACTCGACGATCAACCAGCTTAACCTTCCTTAAATCTCATGCAAAATACATCAAATGAAATATTCATCATTTCCAGGTCTTTTATATCAATGCAAATAGTCCTTGAAGGCTGCCTTGGGAGTAGTCTCTGCTTCCACGCCTCTACGTCGCCTGGCCGGCTGCTGCACTTGTGCAAGTGAAACCCCAGTAACTTTTGAACCCTTGGCTACTAGAAACGTTCAGTGGTTCGAGGGAACGACAAGTCCTTGCGGAATTGGCACTTCTAGACTGATCAGTGGACGAAAAATGCTCCGGGATGCACTGTACACCTGAAGCCAAACTGGAGTTTCGTGGTAATGGCCTCCGCGTTGGCCCACTGGGCATCAGTGCCGCTTCAGCCACATGCAGCTAGATAAAACAATTTCGATCGTGAGCAAAGATATCATCCCCGCATTAACAAGTAGGTGCACGCTCTTGTCTCACTGTACACGTTAAGGAAATGTAGCCTATCGATAGACAAGTTTGGCAAGGGGTAAATAACATTGTAGTCATTCAAATGCTCATTAGCTCAAAGCCTAGGTGATCATGCGCCTGCAGTGACCTCCCTTGAAGGCCAAGGGCCCCGATAGGCTATGACGGTGCGAAAACATAACTTTTGCGTTAGTCGATAATGCGCGCCTTCGACTGCCAAGATAGCAGCAAGGGGCTCGGTTCTAGCTTCACTTCTCTGCAACAAATATACTCACCCGTACTTCTCTCTATAATCCATGACCCTGTAGGCCGGAAGAAAGGTTGGGGGAATATCTTTAGTGAGTACCTAAAGAGCGAGTAAGTTGCTTTGCTGGTTGGGAGGCTCTATAAACAATCACCACTAAGCTGTTTACTTGGGCCCTTTGGTCGAATACACTGAATTCGGGTTCTGCACGACGTGTAACTCCGCAATATCGAACAGAGTGTGTTGTTCACCCAGGTAAATTTATGCTGGATGCGCTAACTCCTCTACGTATCGCAGCACCATAAAAACAAGCTCAAGAAACACATCAAGATAGCAGTCAAGTCCTACAGATTTCCCATCTGACGTGTTCTGCAAAACAAAATTCATTTGAACTAATGTTTTTGCAGATTTCAAAAAATATGAGGCAAAACGCTTGCCAGGAATGTACACCAGCAGGCCTCTCCTTCTGGCCCCACGGCCCCTTCAGAAGGCAGTGGGAGGATGATTCACCCAATAAAAATGAGTACCTATATACATGTGAAGCCGATATGTTTCTTGATTAAGAAACTGGGAATCAATGTTTTTCGCTGCTTATTGCTCACAGTGTCCTGAGCCAAGCGGGCAGCCCCTGCGGCATAGGCGCAAGCCCCAACTGCGAGGCTTCAACCTCCCTGTAGCATGTATGTGCTTCTCGATCGTTTGTGCGCCGAGAGAAGTTCGAGCCCCAAAACAGGTTGATAATAGCTATTTGGTAGCAGGCTCAAATCCTGCTGAATTTTTAGTGAGGCAAGGTGCTTTGCATTGTGGTCTGCGTTGTGTGGCCCTGGATGGCATTGGGTGCCAGCAAATGTTGCTGCTACGGGTTCCAGCACAGAGTCCGCTGTGTTCATTGTTCGCACCTACTAGATGTGCGAGATCTGGGGTTCAAGATAAGTCTGATATCACTCTTTAAAGAAATCAGAAACTGTGACGTTTTACCAGATGTGTACGGATACCTTTCTTCATCAAATGGTCACCTCGATCCGCACAGAGAGGAGATGTCTATTTATGCAATGATGGCCTGTTGTATATGACCGTGTGTGAAGGTTTAATAGCAATTAGGATGGTAACTGCGTAGCCTGATGCCATATCCGTATGTAGATTACGCCTGGCTGTTTTGTGCCGGAAACCTGAATTGTTTTTACATTAGGCTTAATCCTTCCTGGCGGACAGGAACGCATTATAGCAAATCAGACAAAATAAGTTCCTCAGTAGGAAACCACCAAGGAACACGGCTCATTAAGTCTTCCAAGCTTCGACACTAGAGCTGCTGAACGTAAAATGGCTCAAGGCACAAAAGTCAATGGTCAAGGAGTCCCTTGTGGAACAGATGGTGGAGCAGCAGAGCGCCAGCGCAAGCAAAGCAATCAGCATGGCCGCCTTCGAACATTCCAGCAAAACATTTTTGCCCTGTTGGCCGACCCCTCGTATGAAGCCCTTTTCGACGTTGTTATTGTATCAGAGAATCGAGTAAGCCTCTTCACGAGGAACCGCCAGCACACGCACTGTCGAATTTAGACGTAGCATTGGGCGTCGTATACCCGTGCACCAGGAAAAGCTCACGCACGATACTTCTCGTTCTTATCACTTTTCTTACCTGACGGTTGCTGAATCCCACACTGGCGCAATGAAGAATGTTCACAAGGGTGCAAGGATAGTGCGCAAATGGCAAAATTATGAAAAAAAAACACTTCACAACTGGCATTCGAATGACGTGCTCCTAAATTGAACTCGGTGGCGAAAGCCCTTTGTGTACTAGAGCAATTTTCTTTACCACAATATACCTTCGACACTGAATTATGCACTGCTCATAGCCACTCAGTCACTGAAGGTTTGAGAGAAAAGCGGCGACGCAGTACACTAGGGCTACTATAGTGTACGCTGGTAGAAGGCAGCAATAGGGCACTTTCTTTCCACCTCAATTCTGGAATGATACATACTTTGGCTGGTGCAGGAGCTACGCGCCCACCAGTGCGTTTTAGCAGCATGCAGCGAGTACTTCAAACGACTTTTCTGTGGTCCTGAGACGGCCAAGCGCATTGAGTTCCAACAGCGCTGGCCAGTGGTGCACCAGCTTGTAAGGTGCATGTACGGAGCAGACATAGAAGGGGGCACTGATCCTGAAATTATCCTTGAGGTACATAGAATCTTCCTTTGTATTGTGGCGGATAAGCCTGATGTTGTGCTACTCGAAGGGTGTTCACGCAGAATGTCGTGTATCGCGATGCGTTGCAGTGCCGATTTTTTTTGTTCGCCACTGTGCAGGTTTTGGCGGAGGCTAGGAACTTAGAAATAAATTGCCTTAGCATGGATGACTGCCTTTCCCTTATTGTTGATCAGCTTTCAGTCCAGAACTGCGCGCGTATATTGACTCATGACGAAGTAGCACATCATAAAGAACTCTCTCGCCAAGTGTGCGGATATATTGTGAAGCGCTTTGCCGACGTCGTGCGCGCACCCTCTTCGCGCCAGCAACTACTTCAGATGCCACGAAACCAGATTGTCTACATGGTCCGTGAACTATGCAGGCGCTGCGACAATAACAGGGACACCGATTTGATTGTCCGTTTCGTCGTCGACTGGAGTTCATTTGACACTGCGTGCGACCTTCTAAGAGATTGCAAGCTCTGGGATTGGGCCGTAGAACCGGGAGCCTTATCTATCTTTCGCGATGAAGATACACCCTTGGGAGCTGTGCCATCGAGTGACATTGACATTTATCAAGGGCACATCTTAACACGAAAGCAGCTCCCTAGCAGGCTGTTTCAAGCATCTAGACAGACAGACAGTACCACATACCATATGCAAGGCACTGCAAGCGAGCCATTTGTATTAATTTAAGTGAGGGTTGCCATTGGATGCCACAAAAAAAAAAAACAAACGGCAATGAAGGTCGCCAAGTGTCGGTGTCCCCCAAGCATTTTGTTCACAGTACTCTCTCTATGTCGTGCGCTCAGATCTGCTAAGTGCGGCGCAGTGGCGGATCAGCAACTTGAAGGCTGCGCTGAGGGAATCGCTCCCTGCAAAATTTGTGTGCGGGACATATTTTGATTGGAGCGTTCGCCTTGACGTCGGTAAGACTTTTTATCCAGCATTTTTTGTTTCCGTCATAGGACCCCTGACTCTATGTGTTGAGTGCATATTGTTGATGCTCATGAGTGTAGGAGCCGAGAATAAATTAAGGATTGTCTATGAGTCAGCTATTGACAGGACCCCAGGGCAGCCGGCGTGCATCAAAAGGTTTCCTGCTGCTCTATTCGCTTGGCAGGTAGGCCTCACGGCACTCTGGGTTCTAAATAAGTACTCTACTCGAACTTCCCTAGCTGTTGTTATAATTTAGTGCACTGTCTTATGGGTTACAAAGTTCGTGGCTTGCTAACTTCTGCTTGTACCTAACATCCATGCCCATTCCCGGTACAGTCATCTGGGGACGTTCCATGAGGGCCTGCTTAACGCAACTTCTAAGGAACTCAGTGACATTTTGCTACGCATGTTAAGTTGCGTCTGCTGAATTTATGCCAACCTTGGCTCCTGATGGAGATTCAAACCGGCTACTCTTGCCGCACGTGCAGGCCATTTTTAGGGGAGAAGATGTATTCCGCGAACGCCCAGTCTTTATTTGCTTCCCTGAGCACATCGGCCTGCACTGGTCGACTACTTTGCATATCTCAACTGGTACGTCAGCCGAAGTCAATGCTTACTATTAGTCTAATTCCTCAAGAAAAATCCCTACTGTCGGGAGTATGTGATAGCAAAGCTGTCTGGCTAACCTTCAAAAACAAAACAATTGCCTCGGGTTTTAAATTGGAAGGAGCTTTATTACAATCCGGTGCGACTGCATGTTGGCGTCGGTAGTCCACTATACGATATTCTGACATCGTCATCACGGTCCGATTGTTCACCAAGAAAGCCTTCCCTCCTATATGTTGCGATGCATGCTTTCCAGCGGATGTTTCGGAGGCCGACGAGCTGACACTAATGGTGCAAATGACCGAAATCCCATTAGTGTCACTCATTCTGTATTACTTCTCATCGGACCTCAACCAAACTTTGGCGCAAGAAGATATCCTCAACCGCTTGCCCCACATTGAATACCGCTGCCTAAGCTCTTACACCTTATTTCATCAGAATGCTCCAGCCCTATCGACGGCCTGATACGTGTGTCAGCCCTCTAGGTATGTGTCGGGCTTCGTGTAATTCATGGCAAACGCGACTAAAAAGGTCGGGCAACGCGTGGCACTCATGGTACTTGGGCGATCGAATTGCTTTAGGATTTCAAAATCGGGGAATTCGCTTGCTGTATTGCTGGCGATAAGAGCTGGCCTTTTGATCCACCATTTGCAGCAATGCCGGTGCGTCACTGGAATAGTAAAACGATTTCCCTGTACAATAGACTATTTGCAAAAGGCTTTTGCTAATCGTGAATAGTCTCAGGGTACTTCTCCGTAATCAATGCAGTCAGCTTCAAGGGTGATCATGCACCCATTTCGAAACCCGCATATAGATATTGGGTGTGTATAAGAAATGGGACCTCACGATACTGCACAGACTTATCGCATGGATAAATATTATGAACTCACACCTCTTCTAGGACAAGTAACGCAAGAACTGAGAGTATTTCTGATTCTGCATAATAAACTATTCACTTCAAAGACGGCTGCTACTGCAGGTTGTGTAGGTAGCTGGGCTTTAGACGCTATTTGCCCTCCTCATGGGTGAACCTGGGGGGTCCAGAGGCTGCATTCCAACAGATGGCGAAAGCAAAAGAATAATTAAAGCCTTTTACTAATAAATTCATGTGGTGCTGTTTGTATTAGAGCCTTGTGTAGTGTGGGTAATCTGTCGAAGTATTACGGTATTCAGCTGTCGTCATTTTGATTGAAATGCACTCGGAAACTTATAAGTCGGGGTTAGAGGCAGAGCATAATGGAGAAAGCAACGCGTGATGGCCTGGAGTTATAGCGCTTTGTAGGAAGGATTCCTGCACATCCCACTAGGCGGACTAAGCTAGGCATGCGCACGTTTTTACTAACTAGTTGTATTCAATTGTGAACTAGTAAAGACTTGACTGATTGGCTTGACTGCTGTTACCTCTTATTCATTGTAGAGTCGTGCTACTGAAACAATAAGATTAGCGCAGCTTTGATGGAAACCGTGAATTATTACAGACAAGAGCGGACTTGCTGCACAATCTTCAGTCGCTGAGACGTCGCAAGAGCGCATCAGCCACCAAGTTTGTAACGGTTCTTGTGTATGCACTTGGTAAAGTCGTACTGCCGGATTTTTAAATGTCAGCGAACAGCTCTAGGATCATCTATGTCCTGAAACTATGCTTACGGAGCTTTCTAGCTTGATGGTTAGTCTGCACATTAAACTGACGCCTAAATAACTACTTCCAGCAGTCAAGAAACCCCATGGGCTTTTCAAACGCCGTTGTGAGGGCGTAAAGGTAAAGGCAACGCCTTGACCGATTCAATTTTTGCTGAATCGGGCTTGATACCTGCACCCCAAACGCAGAATACAAGGAACGCCGTCCATCTACTTAACAACGGGTACTTGCGTACCTTCACATTAACCTGCGACAGCTGAAGCGCACACCGCTGCTGATATATGTGCTTTTGAAGATTTCGGCTAGACACCAAGCCGTCATCCAGGCAGACATGCATCCCGACTCCCTTCAAGACCCATGAAAATCCCGATAAAATTGCGGTTGCAGTTGAGCCAGGGAATTACTAAGTCCAAGCGGATACGTATACACTTAAGTGCGTGAGTGCCGATACGAAAAGCCGGTTTAGGCAAGTCCTCCTAGCCAATGGCGCTTTGGAAGAAAGCGGATGTGAAGTCAAATGTCGGGTAGAGTGGTGCTCCCCCTAGCTCATAATGTAGTTCGCCAATGATAGGTGGTGAAAGCTTTTCATTTACAGCCATTGTATTTGGAGGCTGAAAGTCAACGGGGGTGCACGACCTTCCGGCCCTCTCCAACGCCTACAACTGGTAATGATCAGAAGTGTTGATTGATTCCTGCGCTTCGCATTTTTAGATATGCTGTCCGCCTGCCGATAAAAACCCTCCTCACTGTACATGATTTCGATATGGTGAAACATACAATGTGGCTGAGCCGGGATTTAGCTCACTATGCTGCGCTACCCGACTAGCGTGTGGTCTGCTTCCTGGCAGCTCGTCATTGATTAGCACGTATATGAGAGCCTTCTTAATAATCGCCCATTCAATGTGTTCCGGGGCAAAATGCTCAAGTAATCCACTAATAGCAGCATCCGTAGGCCTAGTAAGGGGGGGTAATGCATAGAACCGTCTTCTCTTCGTGCTCCGCTGAGGAGCCCGCGTGGAGACTCTGCCTCACCTCGGTTAAGCATCGACTCGACTCCGCTCTCCACAGATCAAGAGCTCTATCAAGCACACCAGGAGTTGCTTCTTCATAACACACCCTGGCACGTCAACCTTCACAGCGCTCAGCTGTGGCCACAGCGTGCCTTCCATTAGGTCACCCACGGCAAACCTAGGATTTCGTCATGGTGAACGGATCCGTTGTAGGAGTCATAAACCGTGCTGATAGGATCCAATTTCAAGTACAAAGAGCCCACCGCTGCCGCAAAATTGGCAACTCTTGTGTTCTGCCGCCCATAGGCAAGCCTGAGTATAGGGACGGCGATACCAAGTGGTCAGGCGGAGAGCACATTTGTGGCGACTCTTCTCATGATAGATCCACTTCAGAACCAGTGTCGCGTAATGCTAGTAGTAATTTATTGTTTTTGTGAAACGTCGCGTAGTCTAGGTTTACTTAATAGATAGTGTCCCTGGGACTCTGCGTTTCGGCTGCAGGAATGAAGCCAGATTTTGCAAAAATTGAGTTAGTCGAGGGCTGGCCTTTATCTTTACGCATTCGCAAGGACATTAGGAAGCGCCATGGCGTTTTTTGCTGGAACTCGAATAATGGGCCTGCTAAGATGGTCGCACCTTTATCAATCTACTCTTGTAACGAAATCCTTTTACCTAGACAGAGAAGGCTAATGCCGCAGCAAAGACGCTTATCGGCCGACTTACAGCTCCTTTATTAGTGGCCTTGCCCGATAAAGAGCATTGTCCCTTCCTAGAAGCCGAACCAACAGACGTAGCGCTGTGTGTTGTTCTCCCTCAAGAGCCTACAGATCCTCATAAACAATAAGCTAGTGGCTGTTGTCATCAGTTGATCGAAACACAGCAAAGGCATGCATTGTGGGAAACGAAAGGTAAGCGGTGAAGCAGGGAGTGGTAAAGTGTTAGCACCCATTAGCTGGGGGTCATTATCATATCCAGACCAACCATCAGGCTTTCACGCGCCGTAAGCAGAGTTTTGAAACCATGATTGTCCCAGGGCTGTTAGCTGATATGGACACCTCCGGCAATATTTATACACAGGCCGTCACAAGCGTGGTGAACAACGCGCTCTTGCAGCGTCCCAACGATTCACG